GGGGCTGCAACGGGGAAGCTGGGGCTGCAACGGGGAAGCTGGGGCTGCAACGGGGAAGCTGGGGCTGCCGGTGGAAGCAGGAGCCACTGCCCTTCTAAGGGAGGGGAAGGCGGGGAGGTGGTCGTGTCTCTCCAGGAGCACTTCTGTGGGTTCTCTGGCACTCCTCTTACATCTCTCACCTGCTGTTCCCTGGACTCAGGCAATCTCTGTTCCATCTGACTACTTACACTGTCCTCCCTCAACCTGGGCTCTGGTTGACTCCTCTGCTGGGGCCACCTCACCCCTCTGGGTGACCCTGTTGGGTCATATCTGGCCCATGGGATGCATACATATCCCTGTTGGAAGTGCTGGCCTTTCCCAGGGCCTTTGGACATGAGTCAGGCACCAGCCCCTACATTCCTCAAATCCTGGGAGACTCAAGCCAAGGTCTCTGAATAGTTCTCTTGGCTTAAATTTATGGAGAAGCATTCTTTTCCTCCCCCATGGGGATAGATGTGTACACACAGGCTCCCACCCACTCTCAAAAGAAACTCTCATTCCCTGTATTAGCTAGTTACTGCTGTGTAACAAACAAGCCCAACACTTATCAGCTTAAAATGACAGCCACAAGTCTACAGGTCAGCTGGAAAGTTCTGCTGATTTGGACTGAGCTCACTCATGTGTTTGCAGGCAGCTGGTGGCTCAACCAGCCAGATGGAACAGAGATTGCCTGAGTCCAGGGGACAGCAGATGAGAGATGTGAGAGAGTGAGGAGGGGCTCCAGAGAACCCACAGAAGTGGTTGGTCTAGGGGTGTCCTGGCTGAGATGATTCAGTTACACTCTTTGCCATCTTTGTGCTCTAGCAGACTAGACTAGATTTTATGGTGGTGACAGGATTCCAGGAGAGAGCTAGCCTAGGCATTTTTTTTTTTTTTGAGGTGCAGTTTCACTCTGTTGCCCAGGCTGGAGTGTAGTGGTGCCATCTTGGCTCACTGCAACCTCCACCTCCCAGGTTCAATCAATTCTCCTGCCTCAGCCTCCTGAGTAGCTGGGATTATAGGCTCCCATCACTACGCCCAGCTAATTTTTTGTATTTTTAGTAGAGACAGGGTTTCACTATGTTGGCCAGGCTGGTCTCGAACTCCTGATCTCATGATTCACTCGCCTCAGCCTCCCAGAGTGCTGGGATTATAGGCATAAGCCACCATGCCTGGCCACATTTTTTTTTATATAACGAAGATGGAGGAACAAGAGAGGAAATCAAAACATGCAAATGTCTCTGAAGCCTCTGCTTTCAGCAAATCCACTAATGTCCTCTTCTCTTAGCCAAAGCAAGTCAGGTGACCAAGCCCAGACTCAGGGTGGGAAGGGGCCACCCTGAAGTTCCAAGGCAAACGGAGTCTAGATACTGGGGCCATCGATGCAGTCAGTCCCCCACTCCCTTCATTCCTCCAGGAGAATCTTCAGCTTCTCTCTTACCCTTTAGAGTGTGTGATGAACTAAGGATCATTAAAATGCTTGCCATGCTGTTCCTATTGCATGGCTGTCAACTGTAGGGTCTGGAGCCAGAAAGAGACTCAGGCAAGTCTGTTCTGGTGTGCTTACTTGGCTGGCGAGACTTCATTCAGTACCAGGGCTTTGAACACGTTCTGGACTCTGGGACTTCCAGATTTAACCTCCAGCCTGGAAACCTCTCTCCTGAGTTCCGGATTCTCACAGAAAGTGGCTGGAGGCATCTCAGAGGTGACAGGCCCAAGCTCAACTCTGGATTTCTCCAAAAACCTTCCCTTTTCTCAGTGCTGCCTGTCTTGGTCTGACATCTCTCATTCTTTCACATCCTGCAGCCAATTCCTCAGCAAATCCTGTGAGCTCTACCTTGAAAACCAAATGCCAGACCATGGCCCTTCCACCTCCCCTGCCTCTCCCACCACGGCGTCCAGCCTGGCTGCGCTTCCTCTCTGCTTCCTGTGGTCTGTTCTCAGCACTGCAGCCAGAGGCATCCTTTTCAAAACCTGCTCACAACCCAGCGTATGGCGACAAAGTCATAGCCTGAACTGTGGCTTACAGGCCCTTCCTGGCACACGTCAGCCTCTGATCTCTGCCCCGACTCTCCCCTTCCCTGCCCTGGCTCCAGCCCCACCCACCTCACTGTCCTTTCCATCTGGGTGTCATTGCCACCTCTCTGGGTGGCCCTTCCTGCAGAAAGTGTGCACCTCTTTGCCTCACTCCATTTACATCTCTCCTGGGTGTCATCTCTCCTGGGTGTCGCCTCTCCTGGGGCCTCCCAGGTTCTGTCTCTCTGTCGTCTTCCCTTGTGTCATTTTTCCTCATCACCCTTATTACCACCCAACATGATCACATCTCTGTGTTTCTTTCTTTTTCTCCCACCTCCACTAGAATGCCATATGCCCTGTGAAGCCTGGCTCTTTAACATCTGTTCCCTGCTGTATCCTGGAGCCTAGAACAGCACCTGGCACTGAGTGGATGCGTAGAGTTTGCTGAATGCACACGTGGGGTTCAGGGACATCAGTGGAGTTGGGGTCTGAAGCCCCAGGAGGAGCTGGGATGGCCCAGGGAGAATGCGCCCAGCAAGCAGGTGCAGAGGCCTGGGGCGGGCCTTGACTCACGGCTGCACTGAGGGCTTGCATAGCAAACAGAGCAGAGGCAAGCAGGGCAGCAGGCAGAGAACTGGGAGAATGATCTCCTAGAAGCCGAGGAAAGAGGAACCTCGTCTCCAAGACCCATTATTTCTAGGGTTTGGTAACTGTGATTCATGGTTTCTTGGGTCTTATGATTCAGGATGGCTTCTCCACGTGGGGGAAGGAGTTGTCGGTACTGCCCTCCTCACCACTGCCTGCCCTGCTCAGGGCTGCGCAGCTCTGGATCAGACACACGTGTCACCGTCAAATGTTCCAGAGTGTTTCCTGCTCTTGGTTGCTTTTCTGTGGTGAAAATTGATCCTGCTGCTTAGAGCCCCCGCCCCAGCCCTACCCAACCCGCCCTCAGCCCTCAGGCAAGTTGTTCTCACAGCTGGGTGTCGGGCCCCGCTCTCACAGTTTCCTGGTCAGAGAGCCAGGCTACAGGGAGAGAACGCAGGCATCCTGGGACAGGGAGCCAGAACCTAGGAGACCTGTGGCCACATCTCTACTCTGACAATAATAAGTCACTGCGTGACCCTGGGCAGGCCACTTCCCCGCTCTAGGCCTCAGTTTCCCCAGTGATTTTTAAATCCCATCTAGCTCTGTGGTTCTGAAACGCAAAGGCCTATGAGCCAGTGAGGAGGCCGCAGGGCGTGAGCCCAAGCTTCTGGAGGCGGGTTCTGGGAAATGAGGTTGGAGGGCTGGGCAGAGCCCACCTGGAAGTCAGGAAGCCCAGGTTAAGGGGCTAGCTGTTAGGCTTTAGGAGTGGGAAGCTGGTGGGTTTGGGAAAGATGGATTCGAGCAGGGTGGAGGAGACAGCAGGTGAGCAGAGGCACCTGGCCTCGGAAGGGCATGGTCATTTCAGTTACATTCAGTCCCCCGTCTTCAGCTACTGCTCTGGGTGAAGACATTGTGCTGGGACCTGGGGAGCAAGTACAAGTTCCCCCAACCCCCGCCCAGGGCTGCCCACCCTCTCAGGACAGACAGACAAGTGAGTGCACTGACGGCCACTCCTGGTGCTCTGAGAGGCTGCGAAGGAGATGAGGACGCTGGCAGTGAGGGCAGCAGGGGGCTCCTGACCTTTGCCCTGGCCCACAGCTCGTGCCTAGCAGGTGCTGATGACTGAACGAAAACAGACCAGGCAGAGAACCAAGAACCAGGGCGAGTGGGACAAATGAGGACACCTCAGGGCAAAGATCTGTGTCCATGCCTCAAAGATGATTCCAGAGGAACACAACAGGCCTTGTCCCTGGATGACCCACCCAGACAGGAATTCATTTTCCAGGGCTCCAGGCTGGAGGGGAGGGGGGCTCCAGAATGCTGGCACCCGCTCACAGTGCAGCGCGCAAAACAGAAACCCAAGCGGAGCGCTAATCAAAGCTGGCCCCTTCTCTTTTTTTTCCCAATCTTATTAAAACACCACAGAGATTAAGTAATGACTTGGCTCTATTTATAGCTCCCAGCTACCCTCTTAGGGGTTGGAAGAAGCTTCCGGGCTGTGCTTGGGAAGGATCAATTCCCACCTTTAGGGCTTGGTTTGGGGACATATTATTAGGGGTGGGATGGGACGATCTTGGTGAGAATTTGCAAGTAGCAAGTGAAGAGGGGAGCTGAGAGGTGGGCTCCAGTCCTACCTGGAAGAAGTGCAGGGAGGCACAGGGCAGACTATGTGGGCATTTGATAGGCATGGCTATTAATGTCCCCAGGCACATTCTGTCTGTGTTTTATGTAGCCACCACCAGGAGCACGGACCTCATGGGACAAGCCGAAAAGTCTTCCCACAAAGGCTCAACGACAACAGAAAATGTACATTTCCCCATTTAATAATCAAAGGTATACTTCTTGATTAAAATCTGCAGGATAAAATCATTGGTTATTAGCATGAGCATACACGAGGCAGGACTTGCTTTTGGCTGCTCAATCAGCAGAGGCTTTGGCAAGGTGAAGGCTTGCATTTGCTCCTGATGAGCAGACCAGAAGCGGGAGGTGGGCAGCTGGCAGTCACCAGAGTGCCCTGCTCCGCCCGCCTGTGTGCTCTGCCATGCTTGGCACCTGGCTTTCATCTGAGTCTCATGGTCCATGAAGGCTGCCCGAGCTCTAGCTATTATCTCCAGGCAGAAAGAAGAAAGTTGGAGGAACATACCAGAGTCCTGGCTGAATGGGCGCCTCCTCCAGAGTTTTCCAGGAATCACCACCCAGCAACTTCCACTCACCTCTCGATGGTCACCCCATTAGTAAGAGAGGCCGGGAATCAGGGCTTGGTGGCAGGTCCCATTTGGTCCCCACAGCATAACAGGACTTCTCTTAAGGAAGGACAGGGGAATGGAGACTGTGTGGGCAATTGGCTGTCCCTGCCAGGGCCCACAGTGAAAATGATTGTCATTGTAAAGGAAGTTGTAAAGAAATGTCTATACTAGGTATAAGTTCCATTTGGCTTCTTCTGACCTTTCAAATATTCTCCGTGTGTGTGAGCTGAGTGTTGAAAGGAGGAAGAGTTGCCGAGGACAAGAATGAGGAGGAGGCGAGCCAGGTGGAGGCAGTGTGTGCAGGACGGCAGCTTGGAGGAAGAGCTGGCACACAACCGACACCTCCTAGCAGGTGCTAACCTCAGAGTTTGCTTTTCTCACAATCCTCTTCTAGGGAGAAGGGGATTGCGAAGATAAAGACACAAATGCTTTTAGAGAAAGGTGGCTGTCGGGACTGTGTGAGGGTGCCCATCTCACCAAACCTCCCGCACTGCACACTGTGGTTTTAAAAATGCTTTGTCAGTATTTTTAAATGGAAATGTCTTGAATTTGTTGAACAGGTGGAACTAGCTTGAATTTGTTGATGAAACTAAACATTTTTAAAAGCATTTTTGGCCATTGGCTTTTATTCTTTTGTAACATGAATTGCCTGGTCGTATCTTTCCACCGTTTTCCTGTCGGGTTTTTGTGGTCCATTGGTTTACGCAGCAAATATTTACCGAGTGCCTGGTATGTGTTAGGAACTCTTCCCGACACCAGGGACACAGCAGTGAACAAACACAGAGTTTCCGTCCTCCACGGAGCTGATATTCTGATGAGAGGAGCTAGGGAATGCAGAAACTGGGCCAAGATTTGTGAACACTCTTAGTAGATTTAGGATGGTAGAGCTTGGTCGCGCAGCCTCCCCAGCTCGTCACTTGCTTTGTGGTTTTATTTGTATTGCAATCTGTCTTTTAGCACAGTTTTAGGTTTACAGAAAAGTTGTAGACAGTACAGAGAGATCCCACACGCCCTTCACCCGGCCTCCCCTGATGTCAGCAGCTTATGTAACTGTGGTATGTTTGTCAAAGCTGAGAAATTAAATTGGTACAACACCATTAACTAAGTATGGATGCCGTTTGGGTTTCATCAGTTTTTCCATGAATGTCCTTTTTTTCTGTTCCAGGATCCAGTCCAGGATGCTATGTTGCATTAGGGATGTATTTATTTTCATGCAGTAAAATACATTGATTTATGGCTCATTTTGTTCTTAGAGAGTCAGTTCCTATACTGAGACATGACAAAATATCAACCTATATTTTTTCTAGCTTTTTATGGTTCTTTTCTTTTTTTTCTTTTTTCTTTTTTCTTTTTTTTTTTTTTTTTTTTTTT